TATAGCATTGTATAGGAACAGTATACCTCCCTATGTGCAATGCTGTCCCTACACAGACTTCTCTGCTTTCCCAGCTCCAAAGGACACAAACAAGATGGTTGCTGGGAGCCCCACTTTTTATAGGGAGAGAATCCGCTTTTCCATTTCTTTAGATTATTGGCTCTTAGAAACACATCTAATCTGGTCCAAAGGTTATTCAGTGTTATTCAGGCATGCATTTTTAGCCATAAATTTGAATTATGTAGAAACTGGGAGATCCACCCTAAACTCAAGGTATAGAGGTCAGTGAGGGGTCGTTTTAAAGCTAATATATCACTTGTTAGGAATATGTAAATACTCAAATGTCCATAGCCTCGCAACATAGTCACTTTAAAGCGTATGTCTGGGCAAAATGTTAATAAATACAACTCCACTTGCAAAAAAGTTGGGACGCTGTGTAAAATTTCCATGAAACAGAATGCAATGATTTGCAAATCTCATAAACCCATATTTTATTCACAATATAAAATCGAAAACATATAAAAAATGTTTCAACTGAGAAAATGTACCATTTTAGGTAAAATAAATAAGGTGTTTTTAAAATGGATGGCAGCAACACGTCTCAAAAAGTTGGGACAGGGCAACAAAAAGCAAAGTGTTACTAATAAGGAAGAGCTGGAAGAACAATTTGCAACTAATTAAGTTTATTGGCAACAGATCAGTAACATGATTAGGTATAAAAAGAGCATCTTAGAGAGCCAGAGGGGTTGATTTACTAACCTTATAAACACACCACGAACATGTATACACCTCTGTAGTGTGTTCCCTCCCAGCATGATCTATGGGTGGAATCTAGTGTGTACACACCCAGCAGGTGTGTTGTGCAAAGCCAAGCATGAATTGCAAGGTGATGTTGTGTAAATTAGCTCTATGTTATGTTGCTTGCGTTGATGAATGCAGGAATGTAAATGCATGAGCTAACCATTTTTGTCTAAACTGTGAAGCAGCATTATATATGCATCATGTGCATGATTTTTCCATATATGGCATTAGTGGAAATATGCTTTTAGAGACTTTTTGGTTTGATTAATACGTTTTGCTGTGTAAAAATCACACGCACCTAGTGCGTGCGTGTGTTTAGGTTAGTAAATCACCCCCAGAGTGTCTCAGAAGTAAAGATGGGCAGAGGTTCACCAATCTGTGAAAAGCTGTGTTTAAACAATGTCAGAATAATGTTCAACGTAAAATGGCAAAGACTTTAAACATATCATCATCTACAGTAAATAATATCCTCAAAAGATTATGAGAGATTATGAATTTAAACATTTGATATGTTTTCTCTTTTCTATTGTGAATAAAATATGGGTTTATGAGATATACAAATCATTGGGGTCTATTCACGAAGCAGCCGAAGGATCCAGCCGTAGCTTCGGCCGATCCTTCGGCTAGCTTCGGCCCCAGGACCCCTACGGTTTTTATTCCTTTTAAAATAAAAAAGAGATTGAGAACAGAGTCCTAAATCTCTTTTTTGCAGCCCCTGTTATGAATGAACAGGAAGCTTCTATACTGAGTGCTCCTGTCCATTCATAAACTGTGGAAATAGTATGAGTTACTGTCAACAATCATGAATGAACAGGAAGTGATGTAGAGCATACTATGTCCTCAGTTATTTACAAACACTCAGCGATTAGTCCTGATCTCTGAGTGCTTGTAACCTGCCCTCCATCCTAACTTGCCTGTCACAGGAGGCCGAGTGGGGCAGTGCGGGAGGAGTACTTGGCCTCTTGTGACAGCTGGCAGCTCTCTCCTCCCTGCAACGCCCTGCTCGGCCTTCTGAAAGCTTCTTTCCTCCCTGCTGGGCGCTGGCAGTTGGATTCTCTGTATCCCCTTGGATCCCCGCTGCCCCTGCCAGCACAGGCGGGGGAGAGCAGTGGGCATCGGAGAGGATACAGACCGGCATCCAGCGGGGAGGAGAGAAGGTAGGGATGCACAAAATGTTCTGCCTCATTTTCGGCTGAAATATTTAGGCGATCTAAATTTCAGTGCATCCCTACAAGAAATGAGGGTAAATCTCCTTTGTAGGGACATAGACAGAAATAAAACCCTGATAGGGGAACTATCAAACACAAAAATTGTACACTTTAAAGCTAAAGTTTATATTATATATTGTTCATACTGGTTTCACCTTTCCCCCCTTATTAACATGCTAATGGCATATAAAAAAAAGTTTTATGTTTTCATTGCATATCTTGTATTAGACCGAGTGACATTATTAGTAGATCTCCATGCAGGCAGATCATGGCCAGTGGATGGAGCCAGCAGGGTGCTGTACATAACTTCCTTAAAACATCACAGCACCCTACCTCAGTATTTCTCTGAAGATCCCTCAGCCCTGAGGCAAGCACAGGGCAGGCTCTTGGGAGGAGTTATGCATATTTTAATATCTCTTAATGGGTCGATGTCAGTCGTAAAGAGTGGGCATTGCTAGGAAGCATTAGCATGCAGAATGCCCTAGGCCACGCCCATATGTAAAGCTGAGCCTACATGATTGAAATAACTGAAATCCAATGAAGAAAAGGGGCAGGCCATGGACAGTCAGGCTAGAAATGAAAGGCTAGATGATGCTGGAAATAAGGCATGCTCTATCAGACTTGCTACAGCTTTAAATGCACACTGTAAGAAACTCACAGTGTGCAGGGAAATCAAAATAAGCAATTTCAGTCCAGGAGAGGTGCCGGTACAACTGTGCAAGACTAAAGGGAAGACTGGAGTTTGGCTTTAAATCTTTTTAATCGTTGAAATACACTACTTTTAATATTTAATCGGCTTTCCATCACCTGCCTTGTACACTGTTTGTTTCTGCTGAGGTCCAAGAATTTCTTGACACAAAATGATGAACATTTATATCTGAATGCCGTTCACCTTTTGTAATAAGTATTTAGTGACTTTATTCCTTTCTCCCCTACTTCTTGTTATTTCCAATTGTTCTTTGTATGTGGAATAGCTGAGGCTATTCGAATCAAGAATGTATTTAATTCAGGTACAGGGTTTATAAGTGAACTGTGTCTGGCCTTCAACCATTGTACAGAGTTCATTCTTTTGTTGTACAGTATATTGTCTCAAAAAGAATCAAATTCTCACTCACTATAAGGCTACATTCACACCCACAACGAAGGTTCAGTTAAGGATTCCTGCATCAGGAATTTGTGATTTCCTCCAGCAGGAATTTCTAAATCTTCCATTGACAAGCGGCAGGGTTCACCCGTTCAAGTTAATGATCGGTTGCCAGCATTTGAAAGTGGCAGAAAGTTGGCACACAGCATGTAATCATGTGTGATACGATTAAATGATAGTGATCTCTCCCTAACCGCACACAATCCTATCACATAAGATTACATGTGGTATGCCAGCATTTTGCCGCTTTCAGGTGTAGCCGCTGTCACAAGATCATTAACTTGAATGGGTGACAGCTGCCGCATGTAAATGGCAGATTTTGTATTCCTGCTGCAGGAAATTGCGATTTCCTGCTTCAGGGATCCCTAAATGCACCTACACCTAACATGTTCCCGCATGGCAGTTGCAAACTTGTTAAAACTCTACAGAACGGTAGAAATTAAACTCAACCAATAGATAAAATTGTGGTGAAATCTCTCAAACAAGGACACAACAGCAAGAAAAACTGTTTATCTAGTTGAGTGGCAGAAAGCAAAAACCTTGTTCAGGTTTTTATACTGTCAAAAATGGATTGCAAATTTAGAGATTATCCTCTTAGTGACAATATTGTTAAAAAGACAGGTAACAGAAAGAGCTAAAGACTTGATATAGGGTCTAACTAGGGATGAGCTTCCATACCCAGTCCAAAGCCCAATCAGCTGTTGGCCAGGGCATTTCCTGCACCAGGGCTGCACATAAACAAAGGGTCTGGATGCATGTGTTGATATCATTGATCTTATATGGCCATAATAGATCAATGTCATGGACCAAATAGAGACATGTGACCATATAGGGTCAATTACAGCACAGCATATCAACTTTTGCTTAAGTAGAGTTGCATGCTGGGAATTCCCCCTGGAAGGAGCATCCTTCCAGGTGCGAAGGAGCTCAGATTTGGACCAAGCACATCTCTAATTCTAACGCATCTCCACTCCTAAAGAAAGGCATGAGCTACAAAAAAGTAAAATTTTGATAACCTCAGGAACATTTGATATTGATAACAGCTGCAGCATATACAGTTTGTTAATTAATACTTATCCTTGTTGCACTCCTTACCGCAAAGTCCCTTGTAATGGGGGATGTTTGCAGTGACTGTGGATGTTGCCGCAAATATCAGCAAATTGTAGAAATGTCACCAGTCCTTTTAGGATAGCAAAAGCTTCATTTATTGAAGTTCTTTGTCATAAGAACAAATACAGATTGTTGAGACATCAGTTCAACCAAACTGCTTAACTGAAGGATACATACTTTGTATAAATGGAAATTATTATTTAACTTGGATTTAGAAATAGCTATTGGATTTGATTTAGTGTAGCTATCCAAGAAGGAAAACATCTGAAGTCTGTTTGATAGACCTACGTCTAGTCCTGCAGAGCATACCCCATTCATACTTTTGTGTAGACACAATTTTCCATTGCTGTTTCCAGCCAAAAGCATGGAGGAGACAGGAAGTAGCAGAGTTTTATACAACAACACTATAGGAGGGAAAATGTCTTGATTCAGAGCTTTCACTATTCCAAGAAAAGAGAAGAATGGACATTTTGTACTTTGTGTGTGGGCACAAATTATTCCCAACAGAGCTGGAGTACAACAAAGGAATGAAAATATTTTAATTTGTGAGTGCAGTGAGCAAAATACAGGCAGCCACATTAAGCTCCAAGCTGCTACCATCCCTATTGGTTTATACTTTCTGCCACAAACTGCTTTCCTGTACTTATAATAAAAACATGTACCATCAACAGGCTGTTGAAATTTCTTGGTATTGCTTACGGTGCTAATGAGTTTATATTTTCTGTTTCTACATCTAGGGTGAGAGGGTATCTTCAGGGATGTCGATAGACCTGCCTCCAGAGGTGAGTGAGACACTGGTAAACAAAGTAACGTTTCCCTCTAGACTCCAGTCATAAAAAGTTGTATTGGCCACAGCCTGTGTGTAAAATCTTTCTGCATCCCTGGCATTGTTAGTGCCTGCCGCACAAATTGCCAAAATGAATGCTCAGCAATGGCAGTCTAAAAATATTCTCAAAACAGATTTCCTTTAGGGCCCTGCTTACACCTCTGCATCATAACGCATGTGTTAAAGTAAGACTAAACTCAGGGGTAAAAGCTTAAAAATGCATTCAAGTACCTTATTGATACCTAATAAGAAAACTGTGCCTTATTTGTGTATCATTCAGCTGTAGATCCTCAAATCATCTCTGAATTTGTGCTGACACTGTCCTTCCTTCTGGAGGGTGGCTACTTTTTTCCCCCATGTGTGTTGTAAAGTAGCCATGTAGCCATTGCTCCAAGCTCACTCCAATGATGGACTACAATCTCATGTTTAGTTTACTAATTTGTACTAAGATTGTAGTGCATCACAGGAGCGAGCTTAGAGTGGTGGCTAATTTACAACACACACAGGGACCATGGAGAACAAAAGTAGCCACCCTCCAGAAGGAAGGACAGTGTCAACATAAATTCAGAGAATATTTGAGGATCTACAGCCCAGTAATACACAAATAATATACATTGTTAATGCTTAGGGTACTTGAATGCATTTTAAGGATTTAACTCCTGAGTTTTGTGTCACTTTAAGACGTATCAAAAAGCATGTTACTTGGCCTCCCTTTGTCTTCAGTGGTGCTGGTTCACATATATACCTTTCATTAAATTAGGTAGCATTGGGTTGTGGCACATCATGGAAAAGAGTTAGAGTCCATCTTTTCATCCACCTGTGTGTGCTGAGGGGCCCATAATAGTCAATGAGAGACCATGCAATGCATGGTTTTGCATTACTCATAGCACACATATGCATCTATTTATAAAATCTTCCCAGAGCGAAGTAGATGGCACCAAGAAGCATCCTGCTCCTCAGTTCCATCTAGTGGCTTTAATGTGCTGCAAACCTCATTTGCAGAGACACTTGAAGTTAGGTTCAGGGGCATCTACATTTAGATTGAGGGGTGTCTTTAGGTTAAGGGTTAGGTTGTGGGCTATCTTTCGGTTAGGTTCGGTTTAAGGATATGTTCACGTGAAGAGTTAGTTATGCCTAAAGGTGCCCATACACTGGCCGAATTTCTGAAGGTTTTTACTATACTGGCCAAAATTCGCACAGGGTGTGGGGCTGTCGGCTCCGTTTCAGCCGGCATTTCTTCATCGGCTGATCGAAGGAGCTGGTTGGAAAATCTTTGTGGGATCAAAGCCAGCAGCCAATGAGCTATCTGCTCTTATCGTGTATTCCGACAGAGGCCGGCGGCTCCTGTCAAAATACAATGCAAACAGCAGCGATTCCTCGATCGACACGCTGATTGCATTGATGGAAGAACCGGGGCGATTTTTTTTGTTCAGCCCGCGGGAAGAACAAAAACAATTGATAGGTGTATGGCCAACTTAACACTTTCTTTAGGACATACTGTATTTTCAGATTTCAGGTTTCGGGCTAGGCTGACATAGGCTCGAGGTATACTGAGCTTTGGGTCATAGGAGAACGCTAGTTTGTGTTCTCCTGTGACCCTTAGGAGAACTATGGGGAAAAGCCCTGACCCCATATTTCTCCTTTAACTTTGCTTTGCTCCCCCGATTGGTGTAAGTTCTGAGTCACCCCAGCAAGTTTAAACAGGGCTGAAGACTTTCTTAAACACCAACCTTGACATGAAGTGAGTCAAGTTAACAAACCCCCTATGAGATAGCACACATAGAAAGTGATTGAAATTGCCTAAAAATGCTATGTGTATATCCAACATAAGTGCAAAGTATGGTAATAGCAGTAGTACCCAATTACCCACCAGTATGGAGCTAGGTTTTAGTGGCTCTGGAGAAAGCAGTGGACCAGTACTAAGCTTTGGGACCTGAACTAATCATCTCCTGAATCTGAATGCAGCTACAAAGTACAGTGAATCTACCTGTGACATCATTGGCACATCCTGTGTTTCTAGCATTTACTGTATGTTTAAAAGGAGCAGAGCTAATCTAGATCTGCCCTGCCTTCCCCTGCAGTAATGGATCACTACAATAATAATCTATTTTTTGCTGATTACAACATGTTAACCTAGCTAAAAATTAGAAAAATATATTTAAGTTTTATTTTTTTAGCCTTAAATACAAGAAAAGTAATATAGACAGAATCGCTATACATACTATAAGCGTTTAGGCGTTTGCCCTGGGCAGGTTTAACTTTAAGACTATTCGTAGACATGAGATGATCCTTGTCTGATCCCGCAAGCAATATGTGTGAGTTCCACTTAGTCACCTTTACCCCAGCAGTGCAGTATGCTGTTATGCTGGCACAAGGCATGCTGGGACAACAGGTGGATTCTAGAGGCCACAACTAACAGCTCACACATTCTGCATGTATTTAATATCCAAACCATTAGCACAGTGCTAACCTCTTACTCTACTCTGCTAGGAGGTGTTTGAACATGTAGCTCTGCAGATCAGGATGATCCTGTATCACTATGCCCCCAATGCTAAGGTAATACTCTTAGTTCAGGATCCTATACTAGATTCCTACACAACTATGCTTGCCAAATGACAACACTTTGGAACTGGAGCTGACTCATCCACAAGGAAAACTAAGAAGGAGCCTACAGTCAAGTGCATGTCTAGGGGGCCAAACTACAACCTTCATGCTCATGCAGTAAACCAGGGGGGTATCAAAGCTGCCTGTCATATCAGAAGAGAGAATGCACTCGTTGGCAGTTGATGTTTAATTAGGCAGGCTATGCCAGTACAGAAAGTGCACATGGGCTGTCTTCACTGTGCTTATTGAAATCCTTATTAATGTCAGTTAAAGGTATGGAGGGCAAGACTGCTACCTTCCCTATGCCACATTCTGCCATAACACATCTCTGCTTGCAGACAGGCATACTGATACATGCAGTTTTCCGACATGCATACATCAGACAAGCATCGTATTGTGTGACTGGGTACCACCTGTGGCGTACACACAAATCTAGCCTTAGCCATTGTGTGTTTGTAGCTAGCCTTGGCAGCACTGACACTGGATATCTGGCTGCATAAAACGGAAAATTGTATACTTACCTATCGGTAATTTTCCCTTCCTGATGCCAGTACATGGCAGCATACAATGGGTCCTGTATGCTGCCTTGTACGGTGTCAGGAAAATGGAAAATTGTATACTTACCTATGGGTAATTATTTTTTCCTGATGCCAGTACATGGCAGCATACAGGAACCATTGTATGCTGCCATGTACAGTGTCAGGAAAGATAGCTTCTGTAAAGTTTTATAAAAAAAGAGTACTAAAATGGTTAGCAGACCGTAATTGGTGCAATTGTATTTACTTTTTTAAAATAGCTTTTATAATCCAGTGTGAAAAATGAATGGCTGCATTTTCCTAATTCTGTGGAGCTTCAATTTAGGCTCAAACACATGACAGCAATGAGCACACACAGTTCCTAGCAGGCATGATCCTTCTTCTAACACACAAATAAATAAGAATGCCTTTGGAGTCAAAAGACAAATTGCCCAATGCCAAAAAATGAGCCAAACCTATACAGCAGACAATCACTAGCAAATAGAATTCATGTGTCTTTGTTTTTAAATTAGCTTCATTTTAGTCTGTTGTATACTATGAAATACTGATTGAATAAACCATCTTTAATTACTTTTTGGACTCATAAACTTCTTTTTTAACCTTTTCCTTATTTACAAGATTTGGCATAACAGATTAAAGTCATTTTGGGTTGGTTACAGTGGCCAAACAAATAGGATGGGTTTCTGTATTGTTTTTATATCATACTTCCCTGCATAGGATATAGCATTGCATTTTCTTATGTATTTAAAAGACCGGTGATCTCAAAAATAACGTATTCAGATGATTACAGATAATAGCCCGCTGATCTGTATGCCATATTGTTGGTTGAATTGTAAAACCAAAATCAAAGATCAGAAACATTGTTGCTTTTATTTCCCCAAACCTTTTTTTCTTTCTCTTTGCATTTGAGTAAATCTTACGGAAGAGCCCTGGGGCCATGCTAAAAAAAATAAAAAAAAATTCTGAGATTGAAAGTCAGAATTCTTGGGTTTGCAATTCCCCCACCTCCCTAGGACTGACAACAAATTAGTAATGCATATCTTGACGGCGGCCCACTGTCTCATATCCTTACAGTGGAAAAGGAGGCTCACCCCGTCTCGAATTGAGCTCTATGCTCGAATTAAAGATGTCCAGGTCATGGAGTATTTGACGGTATGGCTAAATAATACTCTCATTGCTCATGAGAAGGTATGGGGAGCATGGATCACTCGGAAGGAGAGCATAGGATGATATATGGTCCTGCGTTTAATGCCTTTACTCGGACCAGAGCAAACTTAGACATGGTTGATGCGATGTGAAGCTGCCTAAGTGACATGCTGGTTCTGCCCACCTGTGTGGGTGGTTACCCTGGAAGATTATCTCTCTCTAGCGCTCAACTTTTCTTTCCCTTTCCTTTCTTCTTTCTCTCTCTCATTGTTAAGTTACGTTACGCTCTATAGGCGTTTGACAGTCAAGGGGATTAGTAGAATGTGAATTGCTACTGAAGAATCCAAGCCATTTCCTGTCTCCAAGAACTGCCTATCTATACGGATTCATAAAGCTATGAAATTGAGATAGAAATGTATGTTCTGACTTTACTTACTCATTGTTAATGGATCCTTCCATTGACTGGCTACCAACCAGTACTGCTATATGCATGTATGCATGTATGTATTTCTTGTTCTTTGTATAAAATCGTTAAAGGAGAACTATGAGGTGAGTGCTTTTCACTCACCTCATAGTTCTAGCCGACCTGTGACAATGAGACTGTCACAGGTCGGCTCAGTAGATCGGGAGGTGAGCGAACACATACCAGGTTCGCTCGCCTCTCGATCCTGTCACGGCTCTCTGCCGTGACAGGGGGAGGGGCTGGATTCCCCTCTCCCCGCTCCGATCTGCCAGCGCTGACTGGCGGAACGGACGGGGAGGGGGCAGGTACAGCTGGCTCTGCCTCTAGATAGGCAGAGCCAGCTGTCACTCACGCAGCTGGGCGGATCCCGTCATCTAAGTCGTGATCCGCTCCGGCTGCGGCGTCTCAGTATACCGCGAGCTGTAGCTCGCGGTATACTGAGCTTAGGGTAATGGGAGGACGCTAGTTTTTGTCCTCCCGTTACCCTAAGGAGAACTATGAGGGAAAAACACTGACCCCATAGTTCTCCTTTAATAAAAAATTGTTAATTATATTTAAAAAGTCAGAACTCTGTGCTTTAAAGTCAGAATTCTGAGCTTGAAAGTCCGAATTCTGAGTTTGAAAGTCCGAATTCTGAGTTTCAAGCTCATAATTCTACAAAAAAGAAAAAAGACACAGCGCTCTCTTAGGGATGTGGGGTATGTGTGGATGCGGTCAATGAGGAATGCTGCTCTAGGAACAGGGGGAGAAACCTGTGAACATGGAAGTGAAGCAGTAAGAGCGCAAATCCTAGGAGTGTGGGTGGTGTAGGGACAACTATTGTCTATGGGATACAGGTGGAGTTTTTTTTTGGAATAAACAAAAAAATGGGGACTTACTTGAGGTGTCGAGGATCCTGGCAAGGGGGGCCCCAATGGGATTCTGGCGATGCAAGACGTGTTGTGTGGTGGTATTCGGTGTGTGGTGGTCTCCAGATGAGGACTTAGAGGCAAAGCAAAACAGATCTTAGGGTTTGGCCATGACGGCTGGAATTGATGCCATCAGGTATGGTGGTGAACTCTGGAGTAGAAGGATAAAGTGAAGAACAGATTTAGACTGAGTGCTGTGTGTGCCGGAGGGCAAGTGAAGAGGCTGCCTCTGGTCTTAGTTGCGGTGTTTTAGGAGGTGGTGGAGTGAAAGTGGCAAAAGGCTGAGGAAGGACGTGCACGGAGCAGTGGTGAAGGAGCGACGCGTTTCGAGGAGATGCTCTTTTTCAAGCTCAGAAGGAAAAGTGAGTGGATAATTCTGACTTTCAAATTCAAAATTCTGACTTTTAAACTCGGAATTGCAGCTTTACAAGTCAGAATTTTGTTACATATTTTGTTAGCATGGCCCCAGGGCTCTTCCCTAAAATCTTACCTGGTGATCCTACCAGTAATATCCCCAGGGACTTCTTGTCCTAGAGAGACAACGCTAACTCACAAGCTAGCAGTAACATTGTCACACTTTCTGTGTGCTCAGGGTAGGTGAACTGTAGTCACCATAATTAAACTAGTATCAATTGGGAGTGCAGCTGCAGTTTGGCCTGGCCATACAGTATGCATACCTCCCAAACTGATTTGGAGGGACCTTCCCTTATTTGGAATCAAATCCCTCTGTCCCTCTTTCCTCTTCAGTTGTCCCTGTTTTTGGTCTGATTTACAGTATGCCTATGGAAATGTACTATTTAAATCTCAAAAGTGTTATTCTGCACTATAACCTTTATCTTAACGCCTTATTATCTTGTATGCTATTTTGAAAAGCCGGTATAAAGGTAATATAATGAGGAAATGTTGTTTTTGTTTCTAACCAATCATTTTTGGCATATAAATCCTTAATGGGTGTGTCCAATGCCTAAATACATTGTGCTAGAAGGTGTCCCTCTTTCTCATCTCAGAAAGTTGGGAGGTATGCACTATGCGCTTAAGGTGTGCGGTAAATGACCTGAAATTTGTCGGAAAAGCCTTCGAGATGTGCATGGTACTGCAAGAGATTATAGAGTTAAAACTTTTTTTTCTGCAAAATGACTCGATTTTAGCTAATCAAATGATTCTTGTTTGAGACTTTAGTAGTAATTTAATGTGTGATGTGTCGGACTTGTACTATATTTTCTGGAAACCTCAGGTGTATTGTTCCAGTGCATTTCATAGTCATTTACTTGCTCTTTATGTAAATGTGCTAATCATTATTCTCTGTGATCCATATTTGATTGGCTTTTATGACACCACATTTTCATTACAGCAATATATGCATGCTGTAAAGTAAAATTTCCTTAGTTATTCTGCAGTTTTGCAGTTGTTCTGGAAAGTCGCTGGAAGCCATTTTCCATAACTGTATTTTAAGTTCTAATTATTTCTCTTGCAGTGTGAATCATGTGCGTTTCGTCTCCCAGAAGGAAATGTGAGTAGACTTCTGATGCACATTGCACATATGTATAGAACAGCTCTTAACATTGTGCCCTGTTGTTTCCTTACAATCTCCTCAATTATTAGGTATCCATGCTAAATATTTTTAGATGCATATATTCCTAATGATAGTGTGTATATATGTATTCTATATTAACGTACTAAGTTACAGAAAAGAGGATTGAATGTTCTAGCTCCTGGAAGATGCCAATTAAGTCTATGTATCCAAATATAAAACTCTCTCCAGCAAACAACAACTAGCTGTATGAACATGGCAACATTTTAAAATAATGTTCAAGGGCATTTTACAACTTACCATAAACTGAAATGACTAAAAGGCAGTCTGTTTATAATTTGAATGCTTTTTAAAAAAAGGGCAGAGAACTTAAAGCAAAACTCCAGTGAAATATAAAAAAACAATAGTCCATAGTACTTCTTTTCCACCACAAGGTGTCCTAAGTCCTCTGGGTTAAATGACTGCCAGCATCATTCAGCACCCTTCTTCTAAGCCTAGGTCACCCCTGTCTGTGACTGGACAGTGCAGCAGATGCAGGACAGCGATGAAGTAATCTATCTGTCTCTCTGCTGTTTCATCCTATCAGCATGCTCCTATTGTGCTGCTTCTTACTCTCCCTCTCTGAGCTGGGCGTCATTACACGCTGCCCGGCTTCCTGATTGGCCGGGAAGCCGGCTCCATGCTCCCTCGTCAAGAGGTGATGAGGAAGCATGAAGCTGGCTTCCCGATCAATCAGAAAGCTGGGCGCCGCGTCATTACACGGCGCCTGGTTTCCTGATTGGTTAGCTTCCGAGCGCGATACTTCCGATATCAGGAAGCCAGGCAGCGTGTCATTACACGCTGCCCGGCTTCCTGATTGGCCGGGAAGCCGGCTCCATGCTCCCTCGTCAAGAGGTGATGAGGAAGCATGAAGCTGGCTTCCCGATCAATCAGAAAGCTGGGCGCCGCGTCATTACACGGCGCCTGGTTTCCTGATTGGTTAGCTTCCGAGCGCGATACTTCCGATATCAGGAAGCCAGGCAGCGTGTCATTACACGCTGCCCGGCTTCCTGATTGGCCGGGAAGCCGGCTCCATGCTTTCTCGTCACCTAGTGAATGGGACTTCCAGTACTTGGTATTCGGTATCGGCGAGTACCGAAAAAAAATATCGAGAACTCGTACTCAATACCGAAATATTGGTATCGGTGCATCCCTAACTTATACAGCTTGTATTTAAAGATTAACACAATAACACATTTAATGATGTATTAATTAATTCAGAGCTGTATTCATTTTTGTTTTGTAGACCTGCCTAGAGTTCAGGTTTAACGTAGACCTGTCACAAACTGGGTCATAAACCTCTCTAAACTAATCATACTATTGAAAAAAGCATAAGCAGTTACAATGAAAACTCTATGTAGGTGCCATCAGAGATAAAGGCAGTGGAAACCCAACTTTATGTGCAAAAGTCAAGCTTCACTCTGCACCTTCATGCCTCCCAAGCCTCCTAACTCGGCAATGAAGCTTCCCATTTTACTAAAAGATCAATAAAGATGTAGGAGGGATCGGGCTATTTTGACTTTAGTTTACATGTGTACAGCGCATAGCTAAAATGTGCCCTATTGGTTGCTAGGATGCTAGGTGGTTTGAGCGAAAGCCATCTGCATCCTAGCAATGAATAACCCTAGACGGCTCAAGGGGCCTGCATGTTAGCTGCATGTTAGCAAGGAAGGACTATAGATCACTCTGGTCACCTGCATGTTATTAATTAAGGACTCTAGGAGTCCCGAGCCACCTGCATGTTATCAACAAAATACTCTATACTGCTACTGTCCTATTTTCTTTTTTTGTTTGTTTAACACAGCTGACCACAGATCTAGGATACAGAGCTGTGTGCAGTTGTGCGCATGGACCCATAGTATATCACACAGCTGCATTCAGATAAAAAAATGCACGCATTAAGTTTTCGAAAACAATATATTTTGCACCTGTGTGCATTAACCCTAAGCCAGTGAAATAGGCTGGAAGGCAATATCTAAAAAAAACTAAGGATGACATTGATAGAAGATGTGGAGCAAGGCAAAGGATAAGGAAATTAATTTACTAAAGCTGGCCATACACCTTACAATTATCTGCAGATTTTCTATGGTCAGATGGAAAAGGTGCAACAAATTCCTCCATCTACACTTAACTGTGTGGGTGAGGGAATCTCCCACTGGACCAATCTGTTGCACTTTTTCCAACTGACCACAGAAAATCTGCAGATAATTGTAAGGTGTATGGGCACCTTAAGACTGGAGCAGACAGAATATGGAGCAGCTGTGCATAGTAACCAATCAGCTTCAAGCTTTTATTTCCAAAGCCTACGTCCCCTTTTAAGCAGGCAGTCCAATTAGGTCCAGCTGTTAGTTTTTCAAGTGGATCTGATCAACAGCACAGTGGGGGAAATTTACCGAAACTGGTGCAAACAGAATCTGAAGCATTTGCTCATTGCAACCAATCACCAATCTCTCTTCTGTTTGATTATTTACATGGGTTGGCATGGCCGACTGTCCAGATTCTGCCTGCTCCAGTTTTGATACATTCCCTCCAATGGAACCCTATGGGTTAGTGGACATGTGTATTTTTTCATCCATTTGGCTGAACTGATCGTGACAAATCAGAGGTAATCAAATGTAAAAGGACCAATGTCTGCTTACATCTGGTTGCCCATAGATATAACATGGGTCTGGTTAATTCAGTTCTTTCCTCTATTGCAAGATGGTGGAAAAAACTGAACGGACACGGATGACACAAAGTGAAATCTGTTCTGTACTGCTCTGATCAGCAGGGGATCTGTGCAAGGATACCCTGCTGATAAGAGGGGGACAGCGCCCATGTCAAAAGAGCCTAAGTGAACAAGCTGAGTATAGAAGCTGATTGGTTACTACACATAGTTTTAGTAAATTCCTCCTATGGTGTCTGTGTTGCTATGACAATTAGCCATGTACTGATTGCTGTTGGTAACACGGATACATTCCTTTCTCCCAGTCTTTTCTTCTGTATTGCTGGAAAGACACTGGCGCATTATTCTTAGCCTGGAATTAGTTCCCGGCATAACCTGAATGATTAACCTACACGAATACGTAGATGGATGATTTAAGATGGAAAAAATGTTAGAACAAAGGCAGCTGTGCATTTCTCCCAGGTGTCTGTCACCTGTGTAAGTATCTATAGCATATACCTCTTACAGACATAACTCAGAAGGGGGGGAGCACAACGCGGTCTACGTGCTTTCTCAATCTAGGGTCATCGCCTGGAGGCATAAGGCGTTCCGTGAACTATCCAGACAACTCCATGAAAGAAATAATAAGGTCATTAATAAAAACAAGAATGTATTCGATTTTCAGTAACATCAGCCAGCTTCCCTTGCACACTACAGGATACAGTTAGCAGCACTTCAAGTCTAGGCCTGACCAGTGTGCAGCTTGTTTTCTGCTTGCATGAGTTTTGATAAAAGGAAGATAGATAAAATATATAACACCAAACAGCAAATGGTTTGTAGAAGTAAGAAAAATAATAACAAAAAGCTGTTGGAGATATTTGAGATATAAGTGTGATCACAGAATATCTCAGTATTCTATACAGTTGCTTCTCCAGTCCACAAACATCTGCAACATAAAAGTATTTCTTATGTATTTTTTATCATTGGCTGCTTAAAGGAAACCAGTCAGGAAGAAAATGTGTAAGCTGCCATTGCCAACCTTGCTCCTTGCTTTAGTAGATTGATTCTCTAACCTGGAACAAACATAGGAATAAGGTTTATAGCTTTACTCTGACTTTTACAATCTGTATTCCTGATTTGCGCAGGTCAAAAGTATTAAAGTGACACTGAACTCAGGAGGTAAATCTTAAAAATACATTCAAGAACCTTAACTATTAACAAAGCTGTACCTTATTTGTGTATCACTCGGCTGTAGATCCTCAAATATCTCTGAATTGGTGCTGACACTGTCCTATCCTTCTGGAGGATGGCTACTTTTTTTCCCCGTGGTCCCTGTGTGTTATAAAGAAGCAACCACTCCAAGCTGATAGACTACAATCTCACAATTAGTTTATTCATTTGTATTGAGATTGCAGTCCATCACGGGAGTGAGCTCAGAGCGGTGGCTACTTTACAACACACACAGGGACCATGAGGAACAAAAGTAGCCACCCTCCAGAAGGAAGGACAGTGTCACCACCAATTCAGAGATGATTTGAGGATCTACAGCTGAGTGATACACAAATAAGATACATTAGTGTCAATAGTTAAGGTACTTGAATGCATTTTTAAGATTTATTTCCTGTGTTTAGTATCACTTTAAATAAGTGGGGTAGACTAACAGGCATAAAACTAGCATTTTCAGAAAGAGGTTAGCAATGGCAGCCCAATATTTATTTCATGGCAGGTTTACTTTAATATTTTAAAGCTGAACGCTAGGCATACAGCTGAAAATGCAGATGTTTTACATGCCAAATGATTTGTATTTATGTCCTTGAAGACCTGAGACTAAAGGTGCCCATATACTGCTCGATTCTCGTACGAGAATCGGGCAAAATCAGGCTGATGCAAAATTCAGATACATACACTGCTTGGATTTGCTTGGAAACTCAGATCAGTACTCCTTAATTGCATGTTTGCTTCAAGTTATTGACTCGGTAAGATCTGGAGATAATAGATCATATGACACCCAGGCAACTAGCATTTTTAGAGGGAACAGCAGTGGCAGCTTCCAGGTTTTTCCCAGCCAGGTTTCCTTTAGGGCTTCTTCACACCATCTCCGGACCAGAATGTTTGTGTCTGGTTTAAAAACACATACCCTTTCATTCCTATGGTAAAAGGTGAGGCTAGTTCATACTATTGTGTTCAGTTCCAGAATGTTTAAAACCAGTACTGTATGCACAATTTTTTCTGGTCTGGAACACACCAAAACGCATGTAAACACATGCAAATGCACCAGAATGCACTGAAATGCACTAGAAATGCAGTTAAGACTAAAAAAACGTACAAGGACGCATCAAAAACACATACAAAATGCACATACCCACGTTTCCAGGAACGGATCCAGGTCTGATCTGGAGATGGTGTGAACAAGCCCGAAACTGAACTCCAGACAAATATAAAAGATACAAATGACTGCAGCTCTGTATTCATGTCAACGCGATTGCATTTGGGGTTGTCCTCTTGGCACCCTGGACTCCCAGTACAGCACTGCAGAGAAAACATTGCTGATGCCATAATGTCATTAGGGATCCCCCAGTACCGGAGAAGAGGCAAAGAGGACCCTGTGCTTCATGTGATCAGCCTCTAGATTTCCAATAGAAGAGGACTGGGACCCAGATGGGGCTGCAATTAGGTCTTAATATATCAATAAATGTAAATTGTAAATTAACGTAAGCAGTTTAAGAACCTGAATTTGACTTAGTAGCAGGCTGTACAGCAGAGCTCATACAAGGAGTGGGAGAAATAGCACAAGGAGCCAATCCGCTGTGCTGCAGTGCTCATGTATTAACAAGGTACATACTGATAAGAGGAGAGAGCAGAGTGACAGAAATGAGCCCATCATTCTGCTGCTTCTCCTTTCACTGTACGGTCACAGGCTGGAGGAGGGACAAGATCTGTAAGTGTAACCTAAAGCATATGTAAACCCATGAACATTAATGTAATATATTGCAGCTTAACTGTCTGTAAATGTCTGTAAATGCCCTGGTTGTAGAAAGTTTTTTTTTTAACCAAAATAGCTGGGTGTTATTATAGTAAAATTGTAATTTTATAATATGTTTTGTATGAATTATATGATTTGTGTGAAATTTAGTAGGTAAAGGTCATACCTTGTACATTTGTGCAACTATTAATCAAGGCAGCCTGACATTCTTCACTACCTTTTGTAACCATAATATGTATGTTGTACTTTTTCTATGCATATTATCACTAATTGCTGAAATCCATAAGACTGAGATGAGTCAGTCCAGTCTGAAGTATGGGCTAAATTTAGGAAGTCTAAGCTGGCAATACATTCATCACTTCATCAGTCTGACAGAATGGGAACTAAGGGGCCAGTGCCCTTATATGCCACCTTGAACATTAAATTGGATCTCAACTCTAGCTGGATAAGATGTAGGGGGTTATTCACAAAGCTACCGTAGGCAGGCAAGTGAATAACCCAGGCGAAGTGAAGTGAGCCGAACAAAGGGAAGTGAGCCGAACGGCTCAGTACGGCTGATTTCAGCCGCACATCGGCTGCCTTCGGCTGCACTTCGGTCAGCCGACCATGCTCTGCATGCACTTCGACTCAGCTGATCCAACATCTGGATCAGTTGAGCCGAAGCTCTGGCATCTCACTCGCTGCCGTTCATCCCTATTCACATAGGGGCCGAACGACAGTGAGTGAATAACCAAATGCCGATGAGCGGCATTCAGCTCAGCTATTCCTCTGAGGTACCGAGCAGAATAGCAAATCAGTGAAAATAGGTTTTTTTTTAAAGGTCAAAAAAATATTTTTAAAATGTAAATAAATAGTTGAATTAAAAAAATAGATAAAGATTTTTTTTAAAAGAAAAATAATAATAATAAAACCAATTGGGCAGAGCTAGCAGTGACAGGTAGCGCTGCCCAACTGTTTCCTATTGGTCGGCACCTGCAAGAGTCTTCCAGCAGGTGCCGGCCAATGAATAACAACTGGGTGGATGCAGCTAGCTCCGCCCAGTTGTTATTGTTTCATGACAGTTCAGCATCCCCAAGTCATTGGGGACGCTGATCTATCATTATAACTGGGCGGAGCCAGCCATGAGATCGCGGCTGGCTTCGACCCAGCTTTCATTTGCGGGGCAAAAGGCTGGCCCAGTTTGCGCAAGGTGTGTTTGCATTTGTAGTTTCCACCACAGTGACAACAGGATAATACAAGAGAATAATTGGGAAACCGTTGTCACCCTATAACTGTAAGTACCTGAACAAGAGCCTGCATGGCAGAACAACCAGGTATTTTTTGGAATGAAAACGAAACAGTTTAAAACGTAAAAGCAACTTTTTAAAATTATGTTAATAGGTTAAACCTGATATAAGAGTTATGTGATTGGGTTAGTGTAGTTCAACTCTTGCAGTCAAATTTGAGAAAACCCCACTCTGTTTGTTATGTGTTCCTATTCACACAGCATACCCAAAAATAATTTAAGAAAAAATATTTCTTACCTTTTAGCTGTTTCTTTGGTGAAGGCCTTTGTGCAGATTCCAGGCTACTCTGAGCAGGCATCAGGGAATTATCTTATTTTTGCCACATGTATACACAGGCCCTTTATCAAAGAAGTATCTAATTGGTTCATTATGGCACATTTGCCACCAAATGCATTGGTAGTTAAATATGACTGGAAATAAAGTGTTAAAAAAAAAAAAGATTCAAAGCAAAAACAACAGACAATCATTCTGTATTACATACAACAAAGCCATCATTAATATTTTCCTTTTTCAGTCTATTGTTAGCATAAATGGAACAGAATATGGAGACCCAGTCAGTGACTATGGCTCAGTAAAATGCATCACAGCTTTAAAATAATATGATATAATAATAAAAAAAATAGGGCCCAGTATGCCGCTATTGGTAACATGATATAAAGGCTATAAATATACCAAGTCTCTGGCTATTATTCTGTGTTGAAAGTCTCAGTGGGATTATTTCCTGTACATTGATTTTGTGTATTTATGCAAATTTTAAGGCTATGGGGTTCACGCTCACTTTTGTGTTCTCTTCAGGTCTCAGCGGGACCACCAGGCCCCAGGGTAAGAATCTGTTTATAAGACAATTTATACTTATTATAGCTGATTTTACATCAAAACAGCCCTTAGAATCCTGGAATTTAACTGCTTGTTTGACTAAGATTATATTATAAGGTAAATATAAGTTGGCATTTTTATTAAACTTTGGACCATAGATCAAGAAAACTGACTAGGTCTTGGTGGTAGCTTTATCAGTGCTGGCAAAACAACTGATTGGGAACATCTCTGCTAAACAGCAGCTGAGGGGCATGTAAGTAGGCCCTTGGGAATGGAATACCTCTTTAATAGGGATGAGCTCAGGTTTGGACTAAACCCAGTACAAACCTGACCTCCTCTGTACCCGGAAGAAGCTCATCCTGAACATACAAAGAAGCTCCTTCCACGCCACCTCATCGGCTATGTGTGCGGAATTCCCCGCTTGCAGCTTGACATAAGCAAAGTGTGGGGTGCAGTGATGTCATTGACCTTATATGGCTACATGGCTTTATTATATTATTGCCGTGGCTATATTATTCTTACTCCATAGAACCAAAAGTTTCCATACACTGAATTGATGAGGGCCAACAAGCCAGAAACAGCTGTATGCAGTTTAAAAAAATCAACTTATAGTATTATTATTATACAGAACTTATATAGCGCCAACAGTTTGCGCAGCGCTTTACAATATAAGGAAGACATTACAATTACAATGCAATTCAAGACAAGATGGTAAGGAGGGCCCTGCCCTTGAGGGCTTACAATCTAAAAGTATTAGGCTTTGTCTGTACAATACATTAGTGCTTCTGTATGTATAGGTAATCATTAGGACAAAAAGGAATGCGTTTGGCTGCACCCACTATCCTGCAGTAAGAAATAATAGATCAGTGCCACAATTTCAGGTGGCCCATCTGACATATTTAGTGAGAAGCAAGGCAGAAGCTTGGCAATTAAGCAGACAGGACACATAAATCAGAGGTCAGGCAGCAGTCAGCAAAGAAGATGGTACTATGACAGCATTTGTTTGTGTTCATGTGAACATGCTCCTCTCAATAAGCTTTGGCTATTTCCCTATAAAGTGAATGATAAATGATCGATACAATACCAAGATTGGCCAACAGATGTTACAAACCCAATTGCCCACCCCAGATACAGATGTATTGCTAGTACATTTTTTCAAGTCTCCTGTTGTGTTCTCTAAATGTCTAATGTATTTTAAAATAAACAATAGTAGCATACCATTGCAATTTCATGGAATCAGCTTCTCCTGCAACCTGTCAGTCATTTATTATATAATTTAATAGTGTCCTACTTGAATGTTGATTCTTTTCTTTCTTCATATATTTCCTTTTTGAAATACAAGATAAAACATGCAAAACAAAACTGAATATAGACATACTGAAAGTAACTTGTTGTATATATTATGGTTATGTACAGTCCTATAAACTTAACTGGAAAATCCCTACAAGAGGTCTTTGAAGAATTTTGCTATAGAACTTGTCTACACAAATTTGATTTTTATCTTGTAATCTTGGTGTCATTTATTATATCCAGTGCTCCAGTAGAATAGTAATAGATGAAGAATCGTCCTGCACGTTTTTTATGTTAACAGGAAAGAGCAAATAAAAGCTGCTTGTGCCAATAAGATAGTAAATACCTTTCCCTCTGCCTATCCTGCTGAATGCTGCCCTGATGAGGAGAAATCATCCTACAAAGTAGAAACCTGTAGTGGTGTGGAGGAAACACTGAGCGCAGCATGGAGCGCAGGAGATGGACACTCCTGGAAGTGTCAGTTTCTAAAGAGACTTTAAAGGACAATTTTGCATCTTCAGAGCAGTATTCAGTGGTGGGAAATGGGAGAAATAAGTATTCACCTTCTTTTTGGCCGGCATAGCTTTTAGTTTTTATAGGTATTTATAAGTTGCCAGCAATTTACGCAGTGCTTTACATATTCATTCACATCAGTCCCTGCCCTCAAGGAGCTTACAATCTAAGGTCCCTATTTTACACGCATATAGGGACAATTTAGACAGAAGCCAATTAACCTACCAGCATGTCTTTGGAGTGTGGGAGGAAACCGGAGTACCCGGAGGAAACCCACAAAAGCACAGGGAGAATATGCAAACTCCTTGCAGATAGTGTCCTGACTGGGATTCGAATTGGGGACCACCAGTGCTGCTTAGCTACAGAATCACTTTAATACACTTATGGAGTTGTTTAATAGCACAAGTAAGAGTTTGTGGTTTTCATTAACCCATAGCAATGTATTAAATTTTACCAACTTAGTGTCAGCCAAAAAACACAAAAGCTGATTTATAGCCATAGGCTACTGCACACCACTTTTATTTGCTTTGTTGCTGTCTTTCAGTTGTCATTGGTAAGTTTGGCATACTAAATATAGCACTTCGGATATTGTGTGGATCACTTTCTGTTTCTTTTTATATTTTGTACTAAAGGGAAACTTTAGAGCCTTGGGGTCAATTTTATTTTAATGTTTTTCATTTTTTTTCTATATGTATACAATCTTGGTTTTACAAATACACATTGAACACATGCCATCCAATTTACTGTTCATTCTTAATTATTTTTTTGTGCTTAAATGATTAAAAGCGGCTTATACTGAGCTATCCAGTGCTTATCCTCTGCTCATGTGTTTATAAAACAACGTAACATGGTTTATTGGGATTAAATAGAATAAAAACAGATGGAATAAAAAAAAGTAAAAAAGCAATTTATCAGTTTTATTGTGCTAACTAATAAACAGTTAAAGTTTTAGAATCTCCGAGAATCACATTCTCCAGTTACTATAATGAATCACTAAGAAATGCATTCAGACTGTGGCGGGAAGCCCCAAAGTGAGGATGTGGCAGAGTGCCCTTGGTGGGATTTTCCTGGACTTTTTTTCAAGAAAAATACAGCAAGTTCAGTTGCCTTGATTTTTTATTTTTTTTTAACATATATACCTTATACTTAGTATTGAACAGTTGTACAGGTTCCTCTCCTGGACTGAAAAATGCTTACTTTGATTTCACTCCACACTGTGATCTTCTCATAATGCGCATAAGAAGCTACAGCAAGTTAAACAGAGCCCACCTCATTTCCTGGCGGGAGGATATCCAGCATCATCTAGCGCTTTCCTCACCAGCTTGACTGTCCCTGGTCTGCCCCTTTCATTCAATGGATTTTAGTTCTTAGGATCACATGGGGGTTCTACCTATGCAAATACAGCCTGCCTAGGAATGTCCCTCCTCTAGTCTGATCTCCACCCATCAGACATTTGGCTATGAAATAAGGTACTGTATGTAAGGAAAACAAAAAGGTTTTATCTAAAAATGTCTTTAGCATGTTGAGGAGGGAGGGAGGAGCCAGGTAAGGCAAAATATAAGCAGGTTAAACTTTAGCTTCAATATCTTATTAATAAACCACAGATTTATGTCGACTTCCTTTAAATTATAGGCCCAATGATAGAACGTATATTAGCTGGTATTGACAAAGCAAAGACTCTACATCATGCTTACAGCCCTCTTGCCACTAGGATCCCTGTCTGTTTTCTGGGCTGGTATCGCAAGGGTAGGCTATGGAGCATTTTTTTTGAAAGACTGTAAAAAAGAAAATACATTATAAAGTTTTCACTGAATTGTTTCTGTAAAATAACAGGAGGAGTGCTGCATAAGTGATTCTGTTTTAACTTGCTTACACTAGGCTAAAAAAAACACAGAGCAGTGTTAACTACTAACGGTTTCCCTTTTCATTTTGTGAGAAAGAATTGGAAATTAGGTGTTTATTTTACAAAGGATACATTTCAGGTGCTAAACAGTACACATATATAAAGCATTAATTATTTTTCATCTTTAAAGTACAGCTCAAGCTAAAAAAAAAATCCAGTTTTGGACAGAGTAGAGAAGGTTTGAAACCTCTGTCGGGTATTTATTGCTGGAAATCTCCCCAGTGTAAGCGAGAATCCCTCCATTGACACTTGTCTCTGGAACAGATGTCCCCATTGGAAGGTTTCCCTGCTCATGACAGTTTACTGCTTGGAACCCCATATGTCTGTCATCTGAACACGTCATATTCCACACATTACACCCTTCTTAACACTATTATATACTAACATCTGCACATACTGTATTCAATTGATTTTTAATTATCCAGCACATTGTCTCTAAGTGGAAAATGACTGCTAATTGGAAGTGTGTCTCCTAGACATACGTGGTAGGGAAAAAAATATAGAGTTATTTTGCTGTAAAATGAATGTTAAACATATGGACTATGATGCGGATGGTATGCTGACTGCACCACGACCTATATAGTGAAAACTGTTTCCTGTGGAATGGTAAAATAATATCATAAAAAAATAATTGTAATATATCTATCACACAGTATATTGTTCCAGCCAGTCACATCTGTTACTTTGTGGCTGCCACATAGGCTCTGTAGCCTAAAGTAAACTTTGGGGTTGATTTACTAAAGGCAAATAAACTGTTCACTCTCCAAAGCCAATTTTCACTTTGCAAGGGAACTTTCCCTTACCCTAGCCGCCTAGCGAATGAGGTGAAGCTTTGCTGACCTTCAGTATTCAATCACATGCAAGCAAAAATACTTTTATTTTTCTTGAACATGATTGGGTATTCCTTGCAAAGCTATGTCCCCTTTCACACGGGTGGTTTGATCGGGTCCGCCTGTCTGTTTTTCAAGCGGACCCGATCTGATGATCAATGCAAGTTTATGGGCAGCCATGTGTAAACAGACAGGCGTCCATTTACCCTTGACTGCGGCCAGGTGCGTAAAAACAAACAGATCAGAGATCTGTTTTGCTGGACCTGATCGTGTCGGGGTAATCTTACCCCTGCATGGATCCCCTTATAATCAGCCCATGTGAAAGGGGTCTTAGGAAAAATTCCCCTGCAAAGTGAAAATTCCCTTGCAAAGTGAACAGGCTTCATGCCTTCGTCTCTAATGGAATAATTATAAAGCACAATAAGCATGTACATAAGAAAGGGGACACCACAAAGCTCTTCCCCTAGCTATTTTGTGGTTAAAGGATAAGTGCACTTTACAGCAAAGTGCAATTATCATTTTGCCCCTTGTCCTGAGCTAACTGATCCCACCCTCACCTTACACAGATGTTTACTTACCAAGATCTGACTGCCATGTTTATTTACAGCCCACACTGCAGGTCCTCTCTCTCCTGGCCATGCAGGCACTTTAAAGTCCCATAGCCTTTTTCCAGCTGGGAGATGAAGGGAGACAAGCCCCAAAGCCTTTAAACGTTTATTTCACTTTCAGCACTTACTGACTTGTCAGTTAGCCAATAGAGGTGGAGGGGTGGGGGCACCATTGTTCGACTGCGCTTAGGGCATCAATTGCCCTTAATGCGGGCCTGTCTCTATTACAGTGCAGGATGTACAGTCCTTGTACTCTATTTCCATTGATGAAATTGAAATTGTTTTTCAAAATAAAACGTATTCTTTAATAATATTTTATAAGTAAAGCATTACTGTGAACATGCAAAGGAACATGATCATTATACTTCCATTAGCCATATAGATTATATAAGACAAACACCATATCAACAATACAACAGACCTCACATACAAAGCAACGCTATGATCTCAATTATAAACAAAGCAACTCTATGATCACAAGTGCATACAAAGCAACTGTATAATCACAATTTCTAAAGCTGAATTATATAGTATATACAGTATGTCCTGAATTCAGGTAGTTGCTAGTTGTGTAAATTAGTGTGAAACAGCTTTATGTTTGCCTCGTATCTGGAAGTATTACCTTACATTTGTTGATTCACATGGATATTTATCACATTCAATCATTTTATTTACCACTTCTTATTATAGGGTCTTAAAGGTCTTAAAGGTGAAAGAGGGCAGTCTGGAACCTATGGCCCCAAAGGAGAGAGAGGAGAACGAGTGAGTAGTTGTTTTTTGTTTTTTTAAAGAAAAAAATATTATATATGCAGGAAATGTGCATATACAGTATGTGCAGGAAAAATATACATTTTTCAGTGCCCTATAAATGGCAAAAACACTTTACAGAGAATGGGTATAATAATATAATCTGTTCTTGTAATACACAAGTACCCAAGGTACATTATATATTGCCCAGATAACTATGTATCAAGTGGATCACAGCTATAAATGATGGAGGCTTATGCAATGGTGAGTAAATGCTTTTGTTCAGCAATTAATAAGCTACCCATTGGGCCTGCAGTTTACTCATCTCATCAATGTAAGTTTTCAGTGTGTGTGTAATATGTGATAAATGCA